GGAGAGATAGGGGAAATTGCATGGAAATGGAAGGAGACCCTCAGGGTTATACAAAATTACTTACAAGAGGAAGTGAGGGGAAAGGGAAATATAATACAAGGGGGAGAAATGAATGACAGTAGAGGGGGTAGAGAGAGAAGAGGGGAGGGGTGGGGAGGGGAGGGGGGTTAGTTGAGGATAGGAAAGGCAGCAGAATACAACAGACACTAGTATGGCAATATGTAAATCAATGGATGTGTAACTGATGTGATTCTGCAATCTGTATACGGGGTAAAAATGGGAGTTCATAACCCACTTGAATCAAAGTGTGAAATATGATATATCAAGAACTATGTAATGTTTTGAACAACCAACAATAAAAAAATTAAAAAAAAAGAAAAGAAAAAAAAAGTATGTAAGGCTAGTGGAACCCTTATGGCCCAGAATAAATTAATTTCTAGAGTTCCTGGGGGTAGTAGCACAGGCCTGTAATCCCAGTGGAGTGCATAAACACTTATAAACACTTATAAACAACAAAAAGGAAAAGACAACTAACCCAATATAAAAACAGACAATATATTTGATTGCATAATCCATGAAAGAGAAATCCTAGAAGCCATAATTACATGCGGAATGGTCAACATCACATGTAATCACATGTAAAATAGAAGGAAAGTACCATCACACACCCATCTGCAGGCAAATGCTAAGAAGTTTGACAGGACCAGTATATTGAGAATGTGAATGTCATTGGGTGCTGACTTGCAGCCATGTTAGATGTGTAAATTCAGCTCAATCACTTTACTTAACAATATGAATTTATGTAATAAAATTAAAGATATGCCTGAACTATAAATCCAGTATTTCACCCTTTGTATTTCTCCTCACAGACAAGTACACAGGTACTAATATTTAAGATTATTCATTGAACTATACAACTTGGAAGCATACATAGAAAAAAGAGTGCATCCACTGAAATCAATTCCCCAAGAAGTAAGCTACATGGTACAGCCACTTGGTCTGTTCAGTTGGCTGGATGTCCTTCTCTCCTCAAATGTTGCCTGGAATATAGTAGATTTTCAGTGCCTATCTAAGTCATTGAATGATTGAATGAAGCAAAATTACACATATCTATACTGACAATCTCAAAAGCAACATTGAATGAAAAAAGCTAGTTGCAGGATATGTAACTATGAAATAATTTATACAAATTATAAAATGCATAAAATATTGCACATATCTTTTAGAAACAAGTGTGTGTGCACATGCGCACGTACTTCCACAAACATGCAAACATCAAAACATGAGAACAACAAACAATTCCAGAAAGCAAGGATCCCTGAGGCGAGGGAAGGATTTATATCAGAGAACATAGAGGCAAATTTAGTTGTATCTATATTGTTTTATTTTTTAAAGCCAATGATGGAAAATATTAGTAATTTAAAAACCTGAATATTGCACTGAATACTGTGTTGTTAACATATCAATCCCTCTCTTTGCATGAACTATTTCATGATAAAATTATTTAATAAGACTACTGAACATACCCATATTAAATTCATGGAGCAACTCAGTAGGAAAATTTGTTTCTTAATAAAGTACAATAATTCATTATACTTTGATTTTCAAAAGCTTAGTAACTTCTTTAATAATGTACTGATTTTTAACTATTCCATTCAAATCCCACCAATTTAAAACATCAGTATAATTTTGTGGTTAGAGAGCAATGAACTATGCATAGAAATGCATTACTGTCCTCTAGAATCTCCTACTGGCTGTGACACTTACATCAGACAGTAATTAATTAATAAGCGCCTATGTACAAATGACTCTGTACTGGCTAGAGTACAAAACTCTTCTCTTCCTATTCCTGCCTTTGAGGAGCTTATGGTTTAAAGGGACTTTAATTGTAGAATAGGCTTTGTAATTCACAAAAGGAAACAGCTACATTAGTCCAAGGCATTTTTTTCTTATGGTTTTGGGACTTGATGTGTGTTCTTTGTTCTGTTGCACTTATAGCTCAATTCTTCTGGATGAAGATGAACTGTTTCTCAATCTTTTCTGCATTCCCAAACACACTGTTCACACTTTGTAAAGAATAAAAAATAATCACAATTAAAAAAAATAAAAAAATAAAAGTTAGAAACCACTGTCCCAAGTAAAGTCTGGACTCTCCAGAAAGTATAATGGAATGAAGTAGTTTAGTAGAATGAATTCAATTATGAATAATAAGCAAACATATGGCCTTCCAGTGAGGAGCCTATACACAAGAGATGCTTGAAAAGAATGGGTATCTGCATGCTCATATTAATCTATCTCTTCAGGAACTAGAAGACCTTTTCATTGACTTCTGAGCCATTGTTAAGTCTCACATTCTTGTTATAAGCACAATACATACTCAGGAACCACAGCAGGAACCAGAACTCAGGAACCATACTTTATATCCATGACAAGTTGAATTTTCTCTTTTCTTGCCATGTCAACAACTATTCCTCCCCTTTGAAGCAATGAATGCTTCTGGAGAACATGAACGACTGATGCTCCTCCACTTATAATGTAGTTACATCCTGATAAACTCATTACAAGTTGAAAATATTATAAGCAAAAATGCTTTTAATAACCTAACTTACAGAACATCAATCACAGTTTAGCAAAATGGTACACTATGAAGTACTGGTTGCTTCCCCTCATGATCATAAGGCAGACTGGGGGCTGTGGCTCACTGCTGCTGCCAGCATCACAAGAGAGGGTCATACTGCATATCACCAGTGTGGGAAAGATTAAAATTCGAAATTTTAAGTATGATTTCTACTGAATATATTGCTTTCATACTACTGTAAAGTTGAAAAATCATCAGTTGAGCCATCTTAATTTCTGTACAAATTGCCCTAGACTGAAAATTCTACATAAGGATGGATAAATACTGAGTAGACTGGAAAGAATGTGGACCAAAGTGCTTTATGCCTGAGAATTGATAACCTATTGCTATGCTGTACCCAGTGTCCCTTAATCTGCCCCACTAAAATAAAAGTTCTTCCCACTTCATTACTGGTAGGATCTTCAGCTTTCTTCCTACCTAAGATTAGGCAATTTTGGTACAACTCCTTTCCGCATTGTAACTTTTCAACACTGGCACTTTCTTGTCAATCATGTTCCCTTAACACTCAACCTGGTCAATTGGATCTGGTCTATTTAAATCATCCTTATGTTTCTTTATTCCTATTCCTAACTGGCTTTATTGAGCCCTCTCTTGGTTTCTGCCTCATTTTCTGTTCTAGTTAGGCTTCCCCTTTTCCTTTTCCTGAACTCTCTCAGCAATTACCCTAGACCAGCTCCTTGTGTTCTTATCTCTTGTCCATCACCTCTATCTACCATCTTGAACCATCTACCTTTCAAATGATAACATATACTTTAGTCCATACCATTTCTGGTTGAAAAAGAACAAAAACTGATTTCCACTGTGCTTCATGATCTTCTGGAGGCATGAAGATGATTCCCTTCTTGCAAAAATTGTAAAGTAAAAATATTCAGGTACTTTTTAAACAGTAATTCAGACTGCCTAAATTCTTGATCCTATAAACATATACCAATAAAATTCGAGAAGGCAGGGATAAAAAAAAAAACATAGTTAACAATTCGAATGAATCTTTCTGAGCCTGAGGCCCTTCAAACATATGTTATTTTACTGTCAGCTTGCACAGTCAGGTGCCTCCACTTTCTGCTTCCTGTTAACTGCATTTTACTTGGTTTTATGAATTTCTCAAGTTCCTTTTTCTACATTAGTTATATTTCTAAAAGTCTAATTATCATTTTTTCAAAAATTATTTTTAGTTGCAGTTGGACACAATGCCTTTATTTTATTTATTTTTATGTGGTTCTGAAGATGGAACCCAGGGCCTTGCATGTGGTGGGCAAGCACTCTACCACTGAGCCACTACCCCAGCCCCTAATTATAATTTAAATTACACCTAAAAGCAACTGATTGTGTTCCCTCTGAAAGCATAGATGTAAAAGTGGAATGGGCAGATTCTGGGGAAAATCACATTGGGTGCTTCTCTACCTTTCTCTCTTTTAGATACATTAGTCCAAATGAAATCACATTAAGGTGAACATCAAAGAAATTTTTGAGGGACAAAACAGACAAAAACTTGCAGCCTAAAGAATTTTTGTAGAAATGGGAAGGCAAGATGCTTTGGGAAGTGGGTGATGATTTAGGAAAGGTTTCAGATGCAGATGATCTGTATGTAAGCCTCAGCTAAACTGTTCTCATTATTCCCCTCATCATCCTACAGCCCACTAACTTCTCAATGTGCAGTCCACTGCCCAGTCACCTTTGCAGAAGAGGCATCTATAATTGGGGGAACTGTGGTGAAGTAAAAGACCCAATAAATTATACCATATTCATACAATGGAAAACTAAGAAAACATTAAAAAACCAAGGTAGATCCATATATCTTTATGTAAAGAGTATCCAAAAAATTTTGCAAAATGAAAGGGATGAGATCTGTATCTACATCAATATTAATAACTATATCTATGACATGATACAATTTATTATTGAAAACCCACAGGACTACATACAATATGTGAATGTAAAGTCATTAAAAAGGATGTAAATGTAAGGCTGTCATGATACACACTATTAACACTGACTATCTTTGGAAAAGTAAATTAATGGCGATCAAGGGAGATATCATTTCACATACTTCAAAAAAAATTTAACAATGAGTGATTATTATTTATACAACATACGCAAGAAGAACAAAAAAAGGAAGGTGATTTCAGAATTAGAGAGGTGATCCTGATGAGTCTCACCCTCTAATCTTTGTTCTTCTTATCCACTAACCTGAATTCAAAGTAGCTCACAATTCACAGTCCACCAATTCATTTCTCTAAGGGTAACTAATGCTCCAGGCTCTCACATATACTTTCCTTTTAACCTGGAATACCTTCCTTCTCCATTTACACATAGTAAATTTCTTGCCTGAAATTTCTGCTTAGATGTCACTTCCTCTAGAAAGATGCCCCACACTTCACTCTGCACCATCTTCTTCCATTACCCCATCCACCTTACCTATAAGAAACAGCTGAATCAAGAAATAGGTGAGCAGATAATCAGTTGTCTCAGTCATATGCTCAACAAAACGGTAAATGACACTTGTAAGGTGAGTTTTCCCCAAATAACTAGTCTTAAGAGGTACATAGTATCCTCCCAGAAAACCAAGACTTTTGACATCATAGCACCTACCATTTAGCATGGTAACCATCTGCCTGCTTGTCTGTGTGCTTCACTAAAATGAAAATGCTATGATCCTATAAGGGGAAATTATATGTTCATTTTATTATCCATTATAACTAAGAAATAATCCAGTAAATGCATATATATAAGTGCCGTTATGGATAGAAAGATGTCTCATCCTTTACTCTAGGGACTATAGATTTTCTTAAACATAGGACAGAAAATCAGGAGCAATTAACCAAAATCTGAAGACAAAGCATAGCTTTTGCTGCGTGTACTTAGGGTTCTCTGAAGAAACAAAACCAATATGAGATCCTTGCACACACGTACACACTCCTACATACATATATATGAAATGATTTATTGTAAGGTATTGACATGTGTGATTACAGTGGCTAAACTGTCCCAGTATGCTATCTACAAATTGGATACCCAAAAAAGCTGGTTGTGTAGTTCAAAGTCCTGAAAACCAAAGAGCCAAAAAGGTAAATCCCAGTTAGGGTCTGACAGTCTGAGAATAAGGAGCATAGAGAGAAGGAGAAGATCAATGCCCCAACTCAAGCAGTCAAAGTCAATTCTTCTTTTGCCTGTTTGTTTTATTAAGGCCCTAAGCAGACAACATGATTCCCTCCACACTGAAGAGGGTCATCTGTATTACTTTCTTCACCAATTCAACTGTTAATATTATCCAGAAACATCCTCACAGATACACCCAATAATAATGTTTAACCAGCTATCTGAACATTTTGTGACCTAGTCTAGTTGACATATAAAATTAATCACAGTGGGGAAAATTAAAAGTGGCCTCTCCCTAATTAGTTAATTCTTTAAGAAGGGCAGAGTTTCTCAACCTTAACAGTATTGACATTTGAGGTTCTATAATTATTTGTTGTAGGGGGCTGTCATATGCATTCTAGGGTATTTGACAACATCCCTGCCTTCTACCTATTTGATGCTAGTATCACAATTCCCCAATTTATGTAATGCAATAATGTCTCCAGAAGTTGCCAGATGTTGAGTGGGTGGCCAAATTACTGACATAGGATTTTTATGGATACAATAGAGCAAATCTATATAAAATGTAGAACACTTTCATGGTTATACACAACCCCATTTTACAAAGTATTTGGTCCTTAAAAGCAAAACAGACCCAAATGATTAATTATGATTATTCAGTATGTAGCGATTGGACCAGTAGACTTAACTAGATGACACAGGGTTAGTGTATTACCAAACTTTACTAAACATCCACATGTTTGGAATTCAGTTGAAGTTATTCCCAAGTATTGCCAAAGGTTCAGGACATGTTGTCATTTCTCAGTGTTCAGAAGCATTAAAATTGTACCACGTACTCTCTGTGACTAATGTATGAAGGTGAGTTACTTAGCTAGTAAGTGAACCAAATGGACCACCTTAAACACACATAATTTTATTTAAGTGCCTGCATCTTAACATGGCTTTGTTGTTCTCTACTAAAAATGGGTGATCTAATGAGTTTTAGGAATTGGAGTGGGAGAGGAAGAATTAATTTTCTTATAGAAACACTGTACAAAATATGTACAATGTCAGTGAAACCACTATGGAAAACAGAATGAAGATCCTCTAGAAAACTTGGAAGGGAATCACCATTTGACCCAATTATCCCACTCCTCGGTTTATACCCAAAGGACTTAAAATCAGCCTACTATAATGAGGCAGCCACATCAATATTTATGGCAGCTCAATTCAAAATAGCCAAGCTATGGAACCAAACTAGATGTCCTTCAACAGATGAATGGATAAAAAATGTGGTATGTATACACAATGGAATATTGCTCAGACATAAATAAGAATGATATTATGGCATATGTGGTAAATGGATGGAACTGGAGACTATCATGCTAAGTGAAATAAGCTAATCCACCCCCTGCCAAATGAAGGGCTGAATATTCTCTTTGATACATGGATACAAAAAGGGAGGGGAAGGAAGAACAGAAGTTCACTGGATTAGACAAAAGGAAATGAAGGGAAAGGAGAGGGGATGGGTATAAGAAAGGCAGTAGAATAAATCTGACATACTTTCCTATGTTCATATATGAACACACTAATAGTGAAACTCCATATCATGTATAACCACAAGAATGAAATCCTAATTAGAATAAGTTATACTCCATGTATGTATGTCAAAATACATTCTACTGTTATGTATCTCTAAAAAGAACAAATGAAAACAAATTTAAAAGATGAAAAAACAAACAAAAAGAAATGTCACAATGAGTATAAAAATGCCAGTTTGCACGCAATAGCAATATAAGTGAAACTGTAAGAGTGTGGTGACTTATAATTTATTTTAAGAGCTTTATTGCTACTTTAGACCAGTAGTTATTAGATTATTAAAGACCCAAATGGTTTTATAAAAATTTACAGTCGTATTTCACCATATTTTATGGAGACATTATATGCTGTAGTGGAATTCATCAATTTGGGAATCTGCAAATATCTCAAGACATAATTCTCAAGAATGTCAAGAATCTACACACAGATACAGTCATCTGATTCTTGACAAAGGTACCTAAAACTTACATTAGAGAAAAGACAGTCTTTTTAACAGATGGTGCTGGGATAGCTGTTTATCCATATGTAGAATGAGACTAAACCTTTATCTCTCACCCTGCACAAAAATCAACTCAAAGTGGATCAAAGACCTAGGAGTTAGGCCAGAAATTATGCAACTCCAATAAGAAAACATTGGGTTAACCCTCCAAAACATAGATATAGGCAATTACTTTCTGAATAGGACCCTCTAAAGTTTAAGAAATAATGCCAAGCGTTAATAAATAGGATGGCATCAAGTTAAAAATCTTCAGCATGTAAAGGAAATAATTCAGAATGTGAAGAGAGAACCTACAGAATAGGAGAAAATCTTTGCTAGCCACTCTACTGGCAGAGGATTAATATCTAGAATAAAAACTATAAAACTTAACATCAAAAAGCCAAATAACTCAATTAATAAATGAGGAAATAAATTAAACAAACATTTCTCAAAAGAAGAAGTAATAACATCCAACAAATATATGAAAAAATGTTCAACACATTAGCAATTAGGGAAATGCAGATCAAAACTCCACCAAGGGCTGGGGTTGTGGCACAGTGGTAGAGTGCTTGCCTAGCACATGTGAGGCAAGGGGTTCATTACCCAGCACCACATAAGAAAAACTAAATAAACAAAATAAATGTGTTGTGTCCATCTACAACTAAAAATATTTTTTAAAAAATCCAACAATATTTCTTCTCACACCAGTCAGAATAGCAATTATCAAGAATACAAACAATTTTAAGTGCTGGAGAAATGTGAAGAATAAAGAACACTTTCTCACTGTTGGTGGGATTGTAAATTAATATAACCAGTATGGAAATTAGTACAGAGGTTCCTCAAAAGAATAAGCATGAAACCACCATATGACTCAGCTATACTACTCCTCGGTATTTATCTTAAAAAATTAAAATCATCATACTACTTTGACACGTGCATGCCCTTGTTTATAGCAGCACAATTCATAATAGCCTGCCACAGTCCTGCTGCAGCAAAATAACCGGGGGGTGACGAAGAACTTGTGTAGATTGATACAGCAGGAGTGGAAGCCGTTTATTGCAGGACAGGAGCAGTATTTATACATTCCACACAGCTTATCTAATTAGCATAAACTAGATACATCAGTCAACCAATCAGGAATCTCCACACTTAATGGCTCACTTTTGTTACTTCTCAAACCACTCCCTCTGGCATTTTGCCAGGCACCATCCTGACTTGTTTACAGACTCTAACAATAGCCAAACTACGGAACCAGCCTAAGTGTCCATCAATGGTTGAATGGATAAAGAAAATATGGTACATACACACACTGGAGTTTTATTCAGCGATAAAGAAAAATGAAATTATGTCATTTACAGGAAAATGGATGAAACTTGAGAACATTATATTAAGGCAAATAAACTCAGAAGGTCAAGGGTTGTGAGTTTTCTCTCTTATGTGGAAGCTAGAGAATAAAAAGGAAAAGAAAAGTAGGGAACAATAAAATCCTACCATTATGTGCAACTATAATTCATCAATAAAATGTGGAAAAATAAGAATGTTAAGGATCTATTAAAATTTAGGCTACTCAGATATGTCCCTTCCTCTCTGTTTCACAAACCAGAGACTTAACCCAAACTATAACCAGCTGGATGACTCTGTGTCTCCTTAATTCTACTAAGCAAGCCCTCTTCTAGGTAATGAGCTAATGTGTTGTGTATGTGATATTCATATTAAGTAACTCACCAAAACCCAAGCCTGTAGTATACCACCCCTACAGCACACCAAATCCAAACAATGCCCTTGATTGTGAGTGAACTTTTTAGACTTTTCGCCAAATGCCTAGATTCTATAACAAAACATCTTTTCTGAACATTCTTACTTCTTTACTGTGGCTTCCCTTTCCTAAGCATAGATTATTTCCTGGTAAATCTATATTATCCCTCCAGCTAGGAGAAGCCAAACAAAGAGACCTCTTTACTTCCACTCTACCATACCATATTGCTTCTCTAAAAAAAGATTCTAAAGTTTTTTTTCTTTTTCTTTTATTGTTTACCTTTTATTGTTGCATTATAACTATACACAATGGTAGAATTCGTTGTTACATACTTATTCATGCACATAACATAATTTGGTTAATTTCCTTCCCTAGTACCTCCCCTTTCACCGTATCACTGCTTCTACTTTCTACTAAAGACTGACTACTATGAAAATATCCATTTATTCTGGGTAATTTAGACTACATGAGCATGGCCTATATAGTCTAACAGACTTGAGTTTGGATCCGTTTCTACTACTCACTAAATGGGTAAGGCTGATTATCTGACTTCATTCATTTCTAAAATCATCAGAGCCTCATTTCTAAAATAGGGATAATATATCACTATGTTATTATGAGAATTATAATTTAACTTATTGTCTGACCATCCAGATACAAACATTTGGCTTCACTAATTTCCCCCATTTTCCTTATTTTAGTCAATGGCACCCTGTGGCTTATTCCAGAATTCCATCGTAAAGTCCTATAGGTTCTGTGATTTATTAGTTCTTATGTATATTTCCATCTCTCCAACAACACTATTACCATTCTACCTTCATAGCTTGCTTAAACTACTGCATTAGCTTTCTAACTATTCTTCCCTCTTTTATCCTCCACATTCTCCACTGATTCTCTTCATAGCTTTCAAATTGATCTTTAAAAATGATTAATCAGATTGTGCCCATTACCTGTTTAAAACCTTCTAATGGCTTCTACTTGAACTCAGGGTACAAATCACATCTGCATCATGGCCTCCAAAGTCCTATAAAATTTATTTGACCCCGGACTACCTCTCTAGCCTAATTTCCTACCATTTCTCTCAATATCCACCATGAACTTTCTATTTCTGCTTTGTAATTGGTGTCCCTGCTTCTACTCTTACCCACCAATAATCCATTCTTCATAAAAAATCCAGAGTAATCTTAGAATGCATAAAAGGGACCTGAACCTTGATGAGTTTTTAAGAGTCTCTGAAATGGGGACAACATTGCACCTGTCCCCTAGGACTTTTGTGAGAATTACACTAATTAATTTACATGTAGTACTTAGAATATTGCTGGTCATATAGTAAGTACTCTATAGCACTATTAAAAGCATTATTATAATATATGTTATATGCATGCATATATATGTATGTTATTATAGCACTATTAAAAGGGGTCCTCCAAAGAGAAAAAAATAGTAACCCAATTTGTATTTGTAGATTACATATAAGACATCAGGAAAACCCAAGATAATCAACAAATATCAACATTCAGAATGGTAACAGGATATAAAATAAATATAAAAATCAGTGATCTATGTATTAAATTTTTATCACTGTGAACAAAGGATCAACTTAAAAGAGGAAAGATTTATTTTGGCTCATGGTTTCAATTCATAATGAGTTGGTTCCAAGGCAGAAATGTGTTAGAAGTGTGTGATGAAGGAAAGATGTCAGTTATGGCAGCTTGGAAGGAGAGAGAAGGAGAAAGAAGGGGAAAGAAGGAGAGAGATAAAGAAATATAAAGAGGTCAGGGACAAGATATAGAACCCAAGGACACATCCTGAGTGATCAATTCCTCCAACTCTGTCCTGCCTGCCTACATTCTTCACTACCTCCCACTAGTTCATTCAGCTATCAATGAATTAATCCACTGATGAGGTCAGAACCCTTGGGATCCAATCCCCAAACTCTACTTCTGGACAATGATACAGTGGGGACTTAGTCTTCAACACACAAGTTTTGGAAAGACATTCCAAATCCAAACCATAGCAATACTATTGTGGGATACCATGTCACCATCATCAAGATCATTACAAAATCAAAACAAGTGTTATTGAGGTTAAGGAGAAATAAGAACTCCGATTTTCTGCTGACAGTGATATAAAATGGTGGAAAACAGTATGATTATTTCAAGAGAAGCAAACAATAAAGCATGGGATATCTATGTGATCCAACAATTCTACTATTAGATACATATCCAAAAGAATATAATTTAGGGACTCAAACAGACATTTTAACACCTATGTTCACAGCAGCATTATTTACAATAACCAAAAGGTGGAAGCAATTCAATATTCAATGATGGTTATATAGATCAACAAAATGTGTTCTATCCATATAAGGGAATATCATTGTGTTAATAAAGAAAAAAAAACTCTGCTATATGCTGCAACCTGAACATTATGCTAAGAGAAATAAAAATACACATACTGTATGTCTAATGATATTTGTATGAAATATTTAGAGTAGTCCATTTCATGGAGACAGAGGAAGAAATATGGTTACTAGGGGCTATGGGTGTGGGGAAATGGGGCTGATGAATACATTTTGGAGATGGAGTATATGGTCATAGATCAGCTAATGAATATACTTAATATCCCTGAACTGTATGTTCAAGAATGATTAAGATGATAAATTTTGTTATATGCATTTACCACAATAAAAATAAAAGTCATTGCTTTCTTATACATAAATAAAAACAGGAAAATATTTCTGTATCTACTTATGCTAGCTCTAAAACACATCTTGAATTAATTCACTTCTTTCCATTTTCAGTTGGACCCAAGTCACCATCTCTCACAGGGATTTCTCCAGTATATTCTTTCCCGGTCTTTCTACTGCTTGCCTTGACCTCTCCAAGTAATTCTTCACATAGTTGCCAAGATGACATTTTTAAAAGTTCAGTGTAATCATCTTTCTTCTTCATTTAAGACCCTTCAATGGCTTCCCATTGACTTAAATAGTGTAGCAGAATAGTTAGCAAAGTGGGCTCTATGGGGATGTGGACTCCAGTTTTGCAGGCAACGGGGGCCCTGACTACGCCGCCTTCCTCTCTTGGCAGCAGCAGCTGCTGGAAAATGTGGTGTTCCTGACCCTGGCCCTGTTGGAGATCCTGGTGGCCCTGCGGCACATCCTGAGGCAGATGGAGGACGGTAGGGGTGGCCAGGGCAGCCAGCCACAGCAGGTGACCCAGCAGCCAGAGGAAGGCAAGGAGAGCCTGAGCAAGAATCTGCTCTTAGTAGCCCTGTGCCTGACCTTCGGGGAAGAGCTGGGCTTCAAGTTCGCCACCAAGACCGTCATCTACCTGTTCAACTCCTGTCACCTGGTCACCATGATGCATATCTTCTTCCTGGCCTGTCCTCCAAGTCCGGGATCTATCGTGGTTTTCAAGTTACAGATGCACATGTTGAATGGGGCTCTTCTGGCGTTGCTGTTTCCTATGGTAAATACCCAGCTGCTTCCCTTTGAATTGGAGATTTACTACATTCAGCATGTCATGCTCTATTGTGGGTGCCCATCTACCAGCTTTGGAAAGGAGGTACTTACACCCCACAGCCCCTCATCAGATTACGGTGGGCTCTTCTCTCAACTGGCCTCATGTTTTTTTGTCACTTCAGCATTCTACAGATCCTCAGCCTGGTCACCAAAGTGAATTTGAACAACATGCTGTGTCCGGCCATCTCAGACCCATTCTACGGCCCCTGGTATCACATCTGGGCCTCGGGACACCAGACTTTCATGACCATGACCCACGGGAAGCTGGTCATCCTGTTCTCATACATGGCTGGGCCTTTGTGTAAATATCTGCTGGATTTTCTCCAGCTTCCAGCCAAGAAAATAGACTGAAGGTGCTTGTTTTTTTTTTTCCTCCTCCCCAAGGAAGCAAGTCCTGACTTGACTTGGAGAACACCCAGTTCTTGATGAAATCATGGGAGAGGGTAGTAGGATGTTGGTGTATTTCTTTTTTCCTCCTCTGTCCTATTCTTCCACCACTCTTCCTTCCCCAGCTCCTCCCCCCAGGTTAGCTCCTTGCGCCTGGGGCATGGTGTGGGCCTGGATCTTCCCTTCTTCCTCCCCTTGGCTCTGTCTCCCTGCTCTGAGTGGCCTTATGTGGGGAGATGGTAGTCTGGCTCCCTTGCTCTGCTTGTTGGTGCTTTAACAACAGCTGGTTGAAGAGGCAGGGAACAACAAGCAGTAATTCTTGCAGTATCACAGCAGTGAGATCAGGTTGTGTTTCATTTCTCCACTGCCAGGGACCTCCATGCTCTTGCTGGGATCCCCCTTTGTCTCCAGCACAGCCCCCACTGGAAGGGGACTCAGGCCTTTTATCTATACCAGCGGCAAGCCCAGAGCCAAGGGATTTCCCACATAGTGGGCAAAATAGAACTGGCCAGATTCTTCCCACTGCTGTCCCATGACTCAAAGCAGGGAGCTGCCCAGCCACTCCCTCTAGGATGCTGCCTGGGGGAGGGGTGGAGGGCACTACCAGCCTTAGGGCAAGATTCCACCAAGGGGCCTATTGAACTGTGGTGATGGTGAGTCCACAGCAAACAGGGTAGAAATGTACACAGTGCCAGGCAGGACCCTGTGCAATCTGCTGAGACCTGACCCACATCCCAATCAGAAGTGAGCACAGGAATTAAGAAATCAATCAATGGAAGTGGTAACTTGAGAAAACTGTGATTTGAATCACTCTCCACATTCATGTTGATAATAGATACCATCCAAATCTCCAGTGCCCCTTCAACTCGTTCTTGTCCTCTCTTTTGGTTTCTGTGTCTCTGTCTCTTAGGCAGCTTCAAGGAAGAGTGAGCTGGAGTTGGGGCTTGGGGTTGTTTTACTTGTTTGTTTTTGGATGCTTGAGTTGGGAGAACCATTGCATCAAGGCCTATTTCTGGAAGGTCCTATAGATCCTTTTCTGGGGTTTGCAGGGTGTGGCCTCACCCTGGTTTGGGAAGCTGAAACTCCAGCCAGTGTTATTTCCCCAGGGCCAGGTTTCTTCAGTACAGCCCGACTCTGCTGAATTGTTCAATGTGGGAAGTATCACAAATTCCCCACCCTGCCCTCTCAAAAGCCCATGTCTAGGTCAAAAGGGAGCTGTCAAAGGATACGTCCCCAGGGGTTCAAGTGCTCCAAAAGGAGGAGCTTTTTTTGACAGACTTGCACTCAGTTGTGCGTGCACCTCAAGAAGTGGCTGCATGGCTGCTGACACCTTGCTGACTCCTACTAGGGTCAGGTCTGCTTAAGAACAGAAAAGCAAGCTCCTGAAAGCCTCCCCTCCCCTTCACCACTCTAGACATCCTCATTGCTCTGGGCCAGTTCCAGTATTTTAAGCTTTCTCGTATTAGACCTAGATTGTACTTCTGGCAAAGGTGGTCATGATTTTAGCCAATGGACCTCTAGGAGGCAGTGCCATGCAGGAGAATCTCTGAATAAGCTGAGACCCAGGGAAGCAACCCCAGGAGGGACCATCCATCACAAGATGCCTGCTGGCAAGAGCACAGAGAGCAGCAGAGGAGAACATTGAGAGTCCATGAGCCCCTTGTGATCCATAACCTTCATTTCCTGCCATCTTGGAGGCGGGGCCAAGCTTTTCTTAGCGCCTCTCACTGTAGGGTTACTCTCCAGAAGAGGGACCTCTTGAGCAGCTGGATTCACCCTGCCCACCATCAAGCTGCTATATGTAGGAGTGACTAGTGAGGAAATGTGTGAGGTCTTGGTGCCCATTGACCTCTTTAGAAAAGGTGAGGGTGGAAAGACGTTATGAGAGGAGCCCCTGGAGACCTGGCCTGGCCCCTCCCAGAACGTGGAGCCACTATAGGCAGAGGATCTATGTCTCAACTGGGGACCAGCCCCAGAATGCCACAGTGGTGTGACAGTAGGCCCACTCTTCCTCCCTCTTTCTGTGGCATGGCACAGATTTCCAGTCATCTCGGGCTTTCCCCACACTGCCCTGGTTACAGCTCAGCACCCCATTTTGGCATGTACTTTCTGGTGCTTGGAAGGAAAGAAGAAGTGAAAGCTACTTTCTCCTTATACCTGTTAGGTGAAGGGGAGAAGCATAGAGGCAGGCTGGCTCATGATCATGGAAGTCGAAGGAACAGATAATGGGCCCCATCTACGGGTTCCACAAGGAGTCTCGCCCTCTATTTGGGGTATTGGGGAGCAGTAGGCATCAGAGCTGGTCCATCTCTCTCCCTTACCTGGGGCCTAGCCCACCTGGAGAGAGGTACCCTGATCAGAGGCAAGACAGCCTGCTTTGGGAGTGGCCCCCATACCTGTCCCACAGCAGACTGATAGCTGTCGGCTCTAGTACAGAAGTGAGGGAGAAGCCACAGTTTGCACACCCAGGGATAGAGGGCGCTGTCTTCCCAGTTCCTCCTCAGGGCTTTCCTGTCCGAGCTGAGGCTGTTCCCCAAGCACCCTGGCCCAGCTTCCAGATGCTGTCTGCCAGTGCGTAAGACTATGTGGAAGTGGCCAGCTGCCTTTCAGACAGCCCCAGGAAGGGAAACCAATGCTCGGTCACGCCCCCAGGAGGCCTTGGTCAAAGATCTGAGCCAAGGAGCACATTCTGTTGAGCTGGCCAACTTGCGACCTCCACTCTGAATAGCAGAGAGCTGGTCGCGTCTGCTTCAGGTCCTCCCCATAGTGTTTGGTTTTGTACACCAAAGATCTGGCACACCTTGCTCTGCATCAGCCTGTGATGTCCTGAAGCCAAAAACTCTGCCTCCCCAAACCTCTGTCTCTCTGGGGACTCGGTAGCACTCACAGAAGCTGTGTGCAGGTCCCTTGGGGTAAGCTGGACTGAGGTACTGTACAGTAAAGTGTGCCAGATGCCCTGCTTAGACTTCTGCATTTATATTGGTATTATTGTAGCAAAGAGAATAAGATAGGCTGATATGTAACTATTTCTGCTGGGACATTGGCCAATGCCTCTGCCCCTCTTACTATTCCCCATCCTTCCTTGTTCCCAGGCTGGGATTGCTGTGCACTGGGCCCACCCCTCCCACCCCCATGCAGTGCCTCCCTTCAGAACCAGCCTTTGTAACCTCCCTAGATAGCAGCAGGGTGAGCCTCTTTGTCAGGCTGGTTCTTGGGTGCTCTGTGCCCCTCACCCCCCCACCAGTTTCCTCACCTCTTGGGATGTTTTGTAATGTGTTTCCTCTGTTTTGTAAAACCTTTTGATTGTAATGAAATGATTTCTGCAGCCACCTTTGGAAATAAATTGTCCTTAAGATTTATTAAAATCTTAAGGATTTGAGATTTTAAATCTTAAATGTGTGAAACACACACACATTCACACAAACACACACATACAAACAAATGGTCACTCTAGTCATATATCAAAACTGAACTTAAACAATTCTCTTTATGGAAGACTTTCCTTGGCCTTCTAGATTAGGCTAAATTCTCTTAAAATATGTTCTATAGGATGAAAAATACTGTAGTAAGTTATTTGTAGAATTATTATTTTTTTACTTAAAGAAACATATTAGACTGTCTCATGGGGCTAGGTCCCGTATTATGCCTTCAAGTCTATATATACATAATCTGACATTTTTATAACTCCACAGGCACTAAAGAGTATTAAGATATCACAGAAGAAAACAGCCAAATTGTAGTTCAAGATGGGAGTCTGAACACAAGAATTCAAAGGTTATAAATGTATCTATAACAATTAAACCAACATCAGCTATGACTGATCAAAAAAATGAATTCCAATCACAAAAGAACTATTTCTCTGAAGGTAGATTGACAATCATTTTAAGAAAGAGGGCTGGTAGGAACAAGAGAAAAATTGGCTGTCTACTAGACCATTACCATTACCACGGGTAGTAAGGGAAAAGATGCATGAAAGAAGTAAGAAGAGGGAGCTGGCTATGACAAGCAAGTGTGATAGTTGTACCAAATGACAAGTAGATGTACCAAATGACAGCTATGATTTCAATCCCAGATCTCACATTCTTGACTTCTACATCAGTGGTTCTCAATATTCAGTATTTACCAGAATTAGTTAGAAGGCTTGTTAAAATACATATTCCTAGAATCCACCCCAGGGCTTCTCATTAAGTAAGTCTGGGGTAGGGGCTGAGACTCTTCATTTCTAAGTTTTCAGGTAATGTTGATGCTACTGGTCTAGAGACCACATTTTAAGAACGACTGTTTTATTGAATAATTGCCCTTGATCTTATTTTTGCTTCTTTCTGATCTATCAATGGCAGTAAATCCTGACTATCCTTTAAGGCACAGATTAACATACTTTATATATAACCAGAGATATGGAAAATTGTGCCGATACATGTAATAAGAATTGTAATGCATTCTGATGGATGTCATTTTTTAAAAAAAATCAATAAAAAATTAAAGAAGTTTGTACTAAGAAAAAAAATACAAACTTCTGTATGAAACTCTCTCTGATCTCATGCCCTCTGTTAATAAGAGCTGTGTTGTCTTCTAGAGTTATTAACTCTGGAATACAAAGGAGAAACTGATGCAAGGAGGGCTAGAAGTTTTACAAAGTTATTTTGCAGTGTGTTCTGTTTGTTGCTGTTCTGATGGTTCTAAAAGTGTTGTGATCTGGGTGAGCCCAAAAACAAAGTTATTAATGTTTCATGGTCAGATTTCTTATAACAATACAGCCACACTGTGTTGCAAAGATGACTCCAGGGGATAAATAGCACCTATTTAAAGATAGGAGGCTAGAAGAAATGGTAGATAAAACAACTGGACAAATTGATGTGCAGGGTAAGAGCACAATGGGAATAGTAACTCCTATTGAGGTGATTTTCCTTCCCCAAGGTCAGAAGAGAATGCCCTAATTGAGTAGGCCCAGAGGACAGTATTATAACAAGGAAGAATGGAGGGGAGGGAATATTTAAAAACTTTGACATATGAGATTTGGTTAGAGCCTCAGTACAGGTAATGAGTGACAGAGCTTGGACTTGAACCATGCAGTTAACCATATACCATCATTTTTCAAAGTGTGATCCATGATCCACTATAACCAGAATTACTTGGGGAAATTATTAAATAGTAGATTCCTGGGTCTATCCAAGAGATCTTCTAATTCAATTAATGTAGAGAAGATCCCTAAAAATCTGGATTTTTAATCTTCCTTAATAACTGTGATATAGATGGTGGGTGAAGCACATATTGACAAATAAAACCAATGTCAAGTTCATCTCCTGTGAGGAAAAGGGATATTTAGTTTGCATAAGAAATACTCATGATAAGGAGGGATGGAGAAGGCACTAGAGAAGTGGGTCTGGAGGGGGAAAAAATCTTAATAGGTTGTGTCTCCCGGAGGAAGATTTTTAAGAATTTTAAAGTCAGAACTCAAAAGAGGAATGGCGTACCTAAGGGATTAGGAGTTTACCATTACTGGAGATGCTACAGCAGAGGTAATAGAGGCACTTTCTGGACTGCTGAAATCAGTATTTCTCAGTATAGATCATAATTTACTTGGATAATAACCTTATAAGGGTGTTTATCTCCAAATCTTTTGAATCAACATCTCTGGGGATAGATTCTGGGAATGCATATTTTTAAAGAGTTCCCTGGGTAATTC